GAGACTCTAGGACATCCTGTCCACACCTAACGCCTGAACGTCACTATAGGAGGCCACACAGGGCTTGGGGTCCCAGTCAGCTCTTCCATCAGGCTCCCACCATGCATCCTGAACACCTTGTTCCTGCCTCCGTGTCCATCCTGATCTCCCGGCCGAGTTCCCAACCCCCGTGTCCAACTATCCACTCGCCCGCTCCTAATCACCAGAGGGTTCTTGTGGCTCCTGAGCCAGGAGGCGCTGGCACAAGGGACAAGGGACCATCTCTAGGGTCTGGCTGAAACGCGCATCTGTGTCGCACCCCTGCAGTGGGCAGTTGCTGCCCCAGGCCGCCATCCAGCCCTGGCTTTGGTTGAGAATCCCCCGCTCCCTCCCACAGCTCGTGGGTACCCAGGGGGCTGCCTTCCCACCACCCACCCCACCCCCGGCCAAAATCATCAGAACGGGACGTGCTTCTGACCAATGTAAGATAGCATTTATTGGCTGGGGGCGTCAGAGAAGGAAGCTACACCGCAGGCCGAGGCGGTGCTCCCGGCTGGGTGCGAACTAGAGATTTGGCAGAAACCGCAGGCCGCCATCTTCAGATCCTGAGGCAGCAGCCTGGGGTGGAGAGCCAGAGGGGAGGCGGGAAGACACTAGGCGTTTGGTGAAATTGTTCATCTGCTGCCAATACCCCGGGGACTTCTCAGTTCTGTAAACTGTTTCCTTTATCGTTTAGACCAATTTCTTTCATGGTTAAACCAATCGTTGGAAACCGAAAGCAGCCTGGCTAATATTGTTCCTTTCGGATACAAGTCAGTTTCACGTTCACCTTTAGTGGGATTCAAAATTTCAACAAACATTTCCTGACTGAAAATAAGACGGGAGCATTGGTAAGTCACACGAGCTGCTATACTCCCAGCTCTCAGGCAGAGCCAGGGACTTGACTGCTCTTCAAGGCCTGGGGACCCAGCGTTCACCCCATGAGGACCAGGCAGGAGAGTGGCTTCCTTCTAGCCTCGACCGACCTAGGTGTCCTCCTCCAAGGAGCTGGTGACTAGATGACCTCTAGTGCCCGCACATCAGGCAAGGTGGGAGGCTCAGTGCCACCAGCCCACGCTTCTGCCCCCTTCCCAGCGCCCTGAGGTTTCCCTTCAGGCAGTGAGGGGTGTGCAAAGTGAAAGCCCCTGTACGTGCGGCAGGGGAAGGGGTCCACTTCCACACCGTGGGTGAGTGCAGGGCAGGGTGTGGGGGCCTGTCCAAGGCTGAGTGACCTCGAGTCAGTCACCTGTCATCCCTAAGAGGTGAGAAATGCCCATGTCCAGGCGGAGACAAGCAGAGGGAGTAGCGAAGGGCTGTGACGCGAAGGGCCGGGCCGTCGCATTTCTGGGCCACGCTTGGCCGTTGCTCCGTTTGGGGCCTGCTTACAGAGTGTGGACGGAGTGGTGCAGGCCCCTCACCCCAGGACTGGGTAAGAATGAAGGAAATGGAGGTTTCGAGAGTGGCCCTCACTGGGCAGAGTTAACACCTAGGGACCCACGTGGCACGGGGACTCGTCTGAGGTCATACCACACAGGTCCGTGACTCCCCAGCCCGCTTTTCCTTGTCGAGCGCCCACTGGCTGTGGCAGCGGAAGGGCAGCCCGGGGCTGGCTGTCACTTGACCTCCTGCCAATGCCGCACCTGTCAGAGGTCAGGTGACAGGATTGGGCAGCAGGCGCCAGCAGCTTCACTTCTCAGGCCTCGAGAGGAGTCGCTAGAGGATTTGTTCTCAGCGGGCTAAACAAGATTTGCCAAAGGCCGTCCGTCGGAACCCTTCCGAACGGTCCCTGTTTTTCCTGGGCACTCGGAGGCATTTTTAGAATCCGGCTGGACTCAGATGCTGGCTCCCTCACTTCACTGCTGGGAGCCTCGTTGTCTTACCTTTTGTGTGAGGCGTGGGAGCAAACCCAGGCAAGAGCCAGGCGTGGACACCCAGGTACTGCCAGGTATTACTATTATTATGAGCCAGATTGCGACGGGAGAACACGTTTAATGCTACATGCAGCTTGTAGCCTGGCTGGGCTCCTCCCCGCACTGGGAATCTTATTTGGAGAACCCCTTCTCCATGGTTTCAGTTACTTCGGGGTGCAGGAAGCGGCTAGCCAAGCGTTCGATGTCATCCAGCGTCAGGCGGTTCAGGGACCTCTCGTAATCCTGAGGAGAGAAGGCCAGGAGGATTCGGGAGTGCCAATGGGCGGGGGGGGGGGGGGGGGG